TTGTTCTGATTGGCATAAGCATTAAGACAGGTTGCAGGTCATCGGTACTACACCGTTATTTTTACCAGAGAAGTAAATATAGCTTAAACAGCTCGAAATCCTACTTGTGGATGTTTACAAGCCCGAAAGCAGCACATCTGCTTTGTTCTTAATGGCAAATGTCGTTCCCATGGGATAAGCATTAAGACAGTTTTCAGGTCATCTGATCAGAGATAAAAACCAAAGTCTACTCGTAAATAAAGATAAATACTAAAGACCCTATCGAAAACTCACTGCTACATGTTATCCATGACAGAGTCTGCTATATTAATAACTCAAAAAGCTTTCCAACAGGAGGATTACATTTCGATGCCCTCCTTTTGAAAGAGAAATACCATTGTATCCTTTTCCTATTGACTAAGCTCTGCGAGTTTTGCATCTACTCCTGTCCTGAAATGCATTGATCCCTTCACACGTCCAGCCAGACGCTAGTTATCTGCTTTCATTTGATCTGCTTATTTGGCCCAGGTTTATCTCAGATCAGCTTGTCTCATACACAGAATCCAGTGCTCTCCCATTTACTGTCAAAATAAAGAGGTTAAGGCCCATTTACGACATCATAAAGCAGATAAAAGGTTCAAAGCAATGATATTTCTGTCATGAGGCGACGGGACAGGATGTGACGAATCTTTCAGCGAAACACAGCCCCCAACATTCAGTCTATAAATCAAATGAATGAATGATACAAATTTAATGTGAATATTATTAAATGCACAGAGAGGACAACTGCCAGCATGCACAGTTTCACTTTGCATGCCAGCTTACTCATAGGAGGAAGTGGTTGTAAAGTATTTCACTCATTTTAGTTTGAATAAAATTTAATTCCCATAACAGCCAGATGTGCTGTGGTCATCAGCAGTGCAAATAATTAAGATAATTAGATTGAAAGCAGAGCAGAGCTGCACACTGGCAGTTTTCACATGCAAATGCACGCACATGCACGAACACATGCATTGTGACATGGATTCTCACATCAGCTAACGCCAGAATTTAGCTTCGTACAGCTATGCATTGAAAAAAATGGTTAAAGTAAAGACTCACAGTTAAATAACTGCATGAAGTCTGATGTGTTTTGATGTAAATTAATATGGAACATTATGATAGGACAGTGACAGAACAGTTTGGGCAGTTTTGAGGTTCAATGCATGCGTACAAACCAACCTGATAATTCAAAGGTAACAAAACATGTTTTTAAAGCACCTGTTGACTTTATGAGAGTCTGATTCTAATGCTGAACTTACACTGAGGCATAAATCCAAACTTTCAGCTCTGTTAAGTATATAAACGGCTTTACTGACAATATTCTGTCCCTGCGACGACAATAACTGCAAAAAGAACCCTAAGCTTCAGCAACACTGTAACAAAGTCTGTGTCTGTTACCAGATGTTTATATAAAGTCTTCTGTGACTCTCACGTGTGTCACGGTTTACCAGTTATAATCATCGAATGGTAACTCCTGTTTTTATGCCTCTCAGGGCATCTGTGGATTATTACAAATCGTCTCCTCCTGTTTGGTCCCTAAAGTGCTCATAATTAACGAATTTTTCTCTCATTAAAAGTGAAACATTTTAGAACATATAAAATAGTTAAACATATAAAATGTAGGCTTTTGGAATGTGTGGCTTACCTAAAATAAATGGAAAATACTGTCTTATTCTATAGTTCAAAACAAGTAAGCTGTGAATTTTCTCACAGCTTACTTGGTAATTGTAACTATATTCGAATTGTTCAGTTTCAGGTTTTTATGGCACAATCTCTAAGTTGCTTAGACCAGTGAAGAACTATTATTATGCGACAAATGTATTTAAATATATTTTGTTGCTCTGTAATCCAGCCATTGTTTGTGATCTTAGATTGTAGCTCACACTTTTGTCTAGTTGACAGATTTCCATATAAACCTTCTATATATGCCTTAACCAAGCCTTTTTTTTTTTTGCCTTCTTCCATTTTCTGAGTTCAGTTTTTAAAACCTTGAACCTGAACAGTAGAGTATGAATCACTACACTATAGTCCACAGCACAGTGCATTAGCTCTGTGGTCTTAAATAGTCAATAGATGATTTTTCAGATTCTTTCAGATTCTAACTTGTAGTCTTCAGCTCTTTAACCTATACGAATGGAGTAACATGACTATTAGACATGGCATAGTTCTTATAGAGCCACAGAAGACTATTGTCCCCCCCCCATCTTTTATGGGACTACAGTAGGACTTTGTACTGCTGCTATCTATTCCATCATCTTTTATTTTAAGATTGTTTTAACAGGTAAGAAAGTTGTTATCAGGCGATAGCTCTCACTATCTGGTTGTTAACTCATTTCTAACTTAAGACTGCTTTCTTTGGATTTACTTTTTTTTTTTAAATAATGCTGTATTTTGCAATCGAAATATTAAAAACTACACTAAAAACATTATTAAAAGGTTTAGAAATGAGTCCAACTTTTTTCAAATTTTTCTGGGGGTCTAGTGTAACTGGGCCTTCTGTGTGTTCTTCATCACCATGTTATGTGTCCTTCTCCCCCTCAGAGCTTCATACTGTGATCTGAGGTGCACAGCCTGAACTGATGACCTACTTCTTTGGCAGAAACCTTTCAATGTAATTGCAAAAGATAGCTTAAACGCCAAGCATACACATATAAAAATATAGACAGTGGTAAAATGATCCACTCATGAAACCAGTAGCTGATAATGAACTGAATCCCAGTTGTCAGTGTTCAGATATTACTTTAAAAAAAAAAAACACCCAAAATATGAATATTACAACTTATCAAAAGTTACATGAGTCACATTAAACATGAAGATTGTTGAGCTTTTTAAAAATAAAAAAAGTGGTTTGTGATGTCATGAATGACATGTGTAATAATCATTACATTAAGTGTCTTTTCACTTCATATGGAGATAAGAAGCCAAAGGAAACATTGACCTCGTTAAAGTGAATCTCCACATGTAGCTTAACCCTAAAGCTTTTTGAAACTGAACACTTATTTTTGATGAAGTAATGAGCGCTTCTCCGTTAACATACGGCCCTTATGCGAATACAATAAAAAATGAAAAACAAAAGGAGAGAACAAACAGCCAACAAGTCGTGCCAATCATTTTCTGCTATATGTTTTTGCAGCCACATGAGGATTCCGTGAAGAATATACTTACATGTGAAACTGTGAGTTTTACAGCATCGTTTCCAGAATGAAGTTCTTCGGGTTTTAGAAGAAGAAACAACCAAACCTTCCGTGCAAAATCCATGTTTTCTTTTCAAGGCTCACTTCGCCTCATCGTGGATCCAAACTCAAGCCCACGGGGGAAAAAAGTGTCATCAGAATCCAGAGAAAAACGGTCAAAACTGACTTCTTGGTAAGCGCCAGAGGTCTGCAGTCACCCTATTTTGGACATTTTGAAAGCTGTCACAGGTGCGGTGTAAGTAAAACTTCGTCTTCTTGCCTTCCATTCGTGAGGCCCGTCGGTTTTCATCCCATGAAGGAAAAGTCTCCGGCTGCTGAGCGTGGAGGATGCTGCGCTGTCTCGATTTGCCCTTGAGCAAGAGAGCAGTGAGGGTGGGGGAAGGGGGGGGGGGTTTGCTGGGCCACAGAGGATTACTGCGCCATAGGCGTCCCATGGCGCTCTCAGGCATAGTGTGCGCTGTGCTTTTGCCACATCACCAAGTATGCCTTAGTCCAAGGACTATGAAGAAGCTCAAAGTTTATTTCTGTAAAAAGTGTGTGTGGGAAACGCCCAGTCTCCTACCAGAGAAGCCAACATTTCACGTGGCTCACCTTTCACACGGGGATTTTGAACACTTGAAACACTTTTGTTTGGTTTAATGGTCAACCAGAGGCATGCACACCCGTGAAGAACAGCCAGAGCCCGAGTTCACAGCATGCACCCTACAGTGAGCTGATTTGGTTTGGATTCAAAACCTGATTCGCATGAGTGAATCCTTAAAAAGACGTGATTTCACACCACCGGTCCTCAGACTTTTATTCTGTCTTTCCGGGAGGTTTGGACTTCGTGTGCAGCTCATGATAGTGTATTACCCCCTCTAGTGTTCGGTAATAGACTTTCTTTTTGTATGGAGCAGCAAGAATTCTTATTTTCAGAACATTGCGCAGATTGATAGACCCAAATACTGTCTCATCAGGATTCATACATCACATTTTGTGCATTAAGGTATAGAGGAAGGCGGGACATATTTTAAGCTTATTTCTAAGTCATTCTAATAAAAGATAAAAAGCCTGGTAAATAGTTTACCCAGATAATGTGAACACTGGACGATTGGACGGTCTTGTGTTAATCCTCCTCTGCGACCATATAAACAGATGTTTATATTTGCATATTATATATTAATACAGCCATAACGATTACCCAGCGTGCATCTTGGTAAACTGCGCGGAAGTATCAATCACTGTGCCATACAGGCACTCGGATCGATATAAATATTGATAGTTTCAATACCAAAGCTGGTATTGATATTGGCTCGAGACGGCTAGAGTCAATACTTTCTTTCTTTCCCCTATGTACCCCACTGAATTATTTCATGAACAATTATAGCTATATCAAACACGCACTATGAAAAATGTCTCTGTACCTTTTTTGTGTTGACTGTCACATCTGTTTTAATTATGGTAGCACATTTGAACAATATAAGTTGACCCAAAATGCTTGAGAGAGAGACGTATTTAGATTCTAGGTCTTCAAAAAAACAAAAACAAAACAAAAACTAGTTTTAAAATACATAAATTATGTTACATTGATTATTACATTTTTAAATTGATTGATACCCAAAGTGTACTATTACAAAACAGCACCACTGTGCCAGTGAACAAATCCCCAGGAGTGAGTGGTGGGGAAAGACAAAAAAATAAATAAAATAAAATCTTTTTTAAGTTAACAGTTTAGGAAAGTGTAGAACAACATTACCCAGAAGGCCCAGGTACATATGTTTTCTTTTTTTCCGGATGTAGCATCACATGAATTCACTGTCAACATGCAAGATGGCCACGCATCACAGGCAAAATGCTGCTGGGCGGAGGAAAGTACAGGTAAATTAGAGGCGTTACATTATTGATAAATGTGTGACAACGGCAACATCGGGGCCTCCAGCTTAAAGATGTTCTTCACAAACACCCGATAGGGAGTAAAAAATACATGCACAAGATAGCGTTGCAGTTAGGTGTCATGACTCAAGCCAGCTAACCTATCTAGCTTAGCATACGAGAGGTGTTAGCGGCATGTGCTAACGGTCGCTTCCAAATGATTACATGCTTTTGCAAACATTTTTTTCATACGAGCAAGTGTAAAATACTTTATAAGATAACTACAGATATCGCCTGTCAGTACAAAATAATAACACCCCTCCTGGGTTGCCGTTTGAAGCTGTTATGGCGTTGACGGAAGCTAAGCTAGCTACTGTATCCGGGCTCCGTCTAATTGCTAGTGAAACGTACGCGTCCGGGCAGGTCTGTCGTGAACCATTGCCAGTATGCCCAGCTGCCGTAAAATACACATTAAAGTTATGCACTTTCCTTGTTGTTAAACTGAAACCGGTTTGCATTATATGCCAGTGTGTATGACATTTAGTTAAGCTCTGTGTTTGTCTCGTTAACTCTGCAGGTCCTTGCAGTGCAAGTTCACGTTATACAAGTGTTAGCGCGTTAGAGCTTAAAGGGTGGGTGTGTTGGGTGGGTGTGTTGTGTGGGCCAAAACAAAACAGGTCGAGATTAGGAGTCTGAGCCCAGCGCCCATTCTCCTCTCTGTGTTCCAGGTATCATATGTCATTAGAGATGAGGTGGAGAAGTACAATCGAAACGGGGTGAATGCACTCCAGCTCGACCCTGCTCTGAACCGGCTCTTCACTGCAGGGAGGGACTCCATCATCCGGATATGGAGCGTCTACCAGCACAAAGTACAGCTTCTTGCCCTGCTCCGTTATGCTAAAACAGTCAACTCATTTTACATAAGGCAGCTGCTTTAGTATGCATTTCTCAAATCCCATGCCTAAGACTGTTTTAACTGTCCTTGTCCTCTCTTGTTATTGTAGCAGGACCCATACATTGCATCGATGGAGCATCATACAGACTGGGTTAATGACATAGTCCTCTGTTGCAATGGAAAAACTTGTGAGTTTTTTAAAGCTGTTCAGTTCACCCAACATTTTATTTTGAAACCCCCGTTTCTAATCTAAAAAAAATTTGCTTTCAGTGATATCTGCCTCATCGGATACGACAGTCAAAGTATGGAACGCACACAAAGGGTTTTGTATGTCAACGTTACGAACACATAAGGACTACGTGAAAGCGTTGGCTTACGCTAAGGACAAAGAGCTGGTAGCATCAGCAGGTCTGGACAGGCAGATCTTTCTTTGGGATGTGAACACACTAACAGCACTCACTGCTTCCAACAACACTGTCACCAGTAAGTAAAGATTTTGCAGTGTGACACTAGTATCCATTTCTGTCCTCTGGACAGAAGCTTAGATTAGATGTGAATTGTACTGAGTGTAATTTATATTCAGCATGACCGATATGTTCATGTCAAAGTCAGTCTGTACCTTTGGACTTATTATAATTTGTCTCCAACAGCTTCATCGCTGAGTGGGAACAAGGACTCAATCTATAGTCTGGCTATGAACCAGATGGGCACGGTTATTGTATCAGGATCCACAGAAAAGGTTTGTGACACACAGATGGACAGATTTACACAGTGCCCAGTGTTTACACTAAGGAATAAATGCGAACTTTCAGTTGTGTTACATTTTCGAAAATACTGAGACATAAACAGCTTCACTGAGCAACAATCTGTTTCTCTAACTACAGTCACTTTTAAAAGGACTCTAAGCTTCAATAACTCAGCTCTCAGGAGCGTCACAGGTACCAATTATAATCACTCATTCAGTGATTAGAATTGCTTTTTAGGGTCTCTGTGGATTATTACACGTCTCTTAGTCCTGTTTGGGTCCCTAAAAGGCTCATAATTGTCTTAGGGGTGATGTATAATTTGTTAAACTTCAGGTTTTTATGGCATGATCTCTAAGTTGCTTAGACCAGCGTCAAGATATAAAGAACAATTGTTATTGCCCTTTAAACTTCAAAGCATAGTTTAAGCGTTGCTCTGTAATCCAGGTATCATTTGTGATCTTAAATTGTAGCTTCACAGTTTTGTCTAGTTGACAGATTTCCAAATAAACCTCAGGCCTTAACAAAGCCTTTTTAGCCTTCTTCCATTCACTGAGTTCAGTTTTTTCAAAACCTTGAACCTGAGCAGTAGACAATGAATTACTACACTATAATCTAGTAATTGCCTTGTTAACTTATTTTTACTAATTTCTTAAAACGCAAAACCCATAAAAAGTTCTTTCATATTCTAACTTGTAGTCTTCAGCTCTATGTAGGTAGGTTACATGGCTTTAGTAAAATGACTATTATAAGAAAACTTAACTCTAACTTCTCTTAAGAATTTGTAAGCAAGTGATAATACAAGTTCTTCACTGACCTTTGGTTTCTGTTCAGATATCCTTAAAGCATTTCCATTAGGCTGTCACAAATCTGTGGATATTATAAACTATAAAGACTGCTTCAAAAATCTAATATAAAGGAAATGCATGAATGGTGTAATTGAGTGCGTACCTTGCTTTGTTTTAGCCCAGTAGGATTATCATGCATGTAAACACAGTGAAGTAGTGCCTGCTGTCGTTACCCTTCTTGTGTCTTTCTTCAGGTTCTGAGAGTGTGGGATCCTCGAACATGCGCTAAGCTCATGAAGCTAAAAGGTCACACGGACAACGTCAAATCGTTGCTGCTGAATCGAGACGGCACTCAGGTGAGTTAAATAATCTAAAATGCCGCGGCTGCCAAAGAGCAGAGTTTCAGAATCTAAAAGTCACCGGTCCTCCCCACAGTGCCTATCAGGCAGTTCAGATGGGACCATTCGCCTTTGGTCCCTCGGCCAGCAGAGGTGCATCGCCACCTACCGTGTGCACGACGAAGGGGTGTGGGCCCTGCAGGTCAATGAGGCCTTTACGCACGTATATTCTGGAGGCAGAGACAAAAAGATCTACTGTACGGACCTGCGTAACCCAGACATCCGTGTCCTTATCTGTGAGGAGAAGGCCCCAGTGCTCAAAGTAAGGGTCCAGCAAATAAGGGCTAGATTTTTGTAATAACTGCATAACAACCTGTGTAATGGTTAATTTTAGGATATATTTAACCATAATATTGAAAATATAAAAGGATGGGTCTCAGGGTCATTCAGCCTTTTTGCCTTTTCTTGCACAGATGGAACTGGACAGATCTGCGGACCCACCTCCAGCAATCTGGGTCTCCACCACCAAGTCATCTGTTAATAAATGGGTAAGCATGCGTGACACCTCTGAGATCAGTGATCCACTGTCAATGTAGTGAAGTATAGATAGAGGGTTGTTCATGTGGCCACACCTAACTGTGTTCAGCCATAATTCATCTGCAGTTCATTTAAAATTTAAAAGCAGCTTTGTAATTCTGTACTACAAAAGAGAAGAACGAGGAGTGGGGAAGCAATTATTAAAAGTTTTTGTTTTTTTGGTGTGTGTTTAGTCTCTAAAGGGAATGCACAACTTCAGATCATCCGGAGAGTATGACAACGACTGCACCACCCCTCTGACACCACTGTGTACTCAGCCAGAACAAGTCATCAAGGGTACTTTTGTTTTTTATTTCTTTTTTATGTGAAAGTATACAATCCTCCAAATCTCTTTTCCCTCTGTTAACTAACAGCGCTGTTGATGTTGCAGGAGGTGCCAGTATTATTCAGTGCCACATTCTGAATGACAAAAGGCACATACTCACCAAAGACACTAACAACAATGTGGCTTTCTGGGACGTCCTAAAGGTAAACCACACACTCTGGCATTAATGATTAAGATATTAGGATATGGGATGTGCTCTTATCTTGGTCTTTATTGGTCTTCATAGGTGGGAGGATAAGTGAAGGAGATTTCAGGGCGTGGCTTGCATCACTAAATGTCACTGATTAGTCAAATATGTCAGAATTTTAAAGCCAAATTTAAAAAAAAAAAAGCTGCTAATGCAGACTGTTTTTGTTCACTGTTCTAAGACATAACAACATGGAGATACAGCAGAACTGGGTGGTGATGCCCAACAAGAATGAATGGTTTTATAGTTGTGTAAAATAAAGAAGAGCTGTTGTTTTTGGTTTGTGAAATGAATGATTTTGCCTTATTTTTTAATCTTCCTGGGGCTGCCGTCCAGGAAGAAGAACTGATGGACCCCGAATGAACCTTTAGTTCTTCTGAAAGTTTCCCAGGCGTGGGTGTTGGGGCGGAGAACTCCACTGTGGTTTTATTGGTGCTCATCCACCTGAATGAGCTGATGAATCTGTGTGAATTAAAGTGAAATTGTAGGAATGCACACCTGTCGATATATCTGTAGTTTGAAATGACCTTTTGTGCTCACATTTGACCTGTAGGCATGTAAGGGCGAAGACTTGGGGAAGGTTGAATTTGACGAAGAGATTAAAAAGCGCTTCAAGATGGTCTATGTGCCAAATTGGTTCTCTGTTGATCTGAAAACTGGGGTGAGTTTCAAACCTGGTAATACAGGAGCCCGTCACATGATTTGACATTCAGTGTTTTCTAGCTGTGTTCTAACTTCTCCTGGTTGATTCCTGTCGTGGTTATGTGCTCGACAGATGCTCACTATCACTTTGGATGAGAGTGACTGCTTTGCTGCCTGGGTGTCTGCAAAGGACGCAGGGTTTTCAAGTTCCGATGGATCGGATCCAAAGTGTAAGAGATTACATTTTCTATACTAATGAAGGTTACGTAATGCAGAGCCAGAGGTCTAAGTTAGCATTACACAACGCTGATTTCTCCCCTTTGCAGTGAACCTGGGCGGACTATTGCTTCAGGCTCTGCTGGAGTTCTGGCCCAGAACCCGAATCAACCCCATGGACGAGGAAGAGAACGAGGTGAACCATGGTGAGGAGATTGATTGACTGATTCAATTATCCAGTGAATGCACAAACTGCCAAATGTCTGCACCGAGGGGAGCGTCATCGGGGCATGTTTTTTCCTTTGTCTTGTTTCCCTCGTCTTTTTATCCACTTGGCCTCAAACATGAATTGGCTGCAAACTGTGCCAGTGAGCGCATTCCAAGCCAAGATGTCATCGGGTTTGTTGATTATGTTCTTGTTCCCTCAGTGAACGGAGAGCAAGAAAACAGGGTCCAGAAAGGGAACGGATATTTCCAGGTGCCACCACACACACCAGTTATCTTTGGAGAAGCGGGAGGCAGAACCCTTTTTAGGTAAGCTAACTTTTAGATCGTCAGTTAAGGTCATGTTAGAAAGTCAAATCTTCCCCTTGTGATGTCATCACGTGTCATTAGAAATGGTCGCACAAGTCCAGCTTTTCTTTTGATCTGCTTTATTTTTACGCTGCAGGTTGCTATGTAGAGATTCAGGCGGAGAGACTGAATCCATGCTGCTCAATGAGACAGTCCCACAGTGGGTTATTGATATAACTGTAGATGTGAGTATCTCTGCTGATTTTTTTTTTTTTTTTTAAACCTCCTTTCCGTTGATCTTTTATTAAAGTGTGCATGTTGTGCTTTTCATCTATCCTGTCATATGCAGTGTTCCACTGGTGGCTGATCATAGTAAACCTGGTCAAAGTTTCACATAATAAAATCAGTGGATAATAATCTCTGTGACACTATTGGCTGATCATAGGGTCATAACTTGAAAGAGAGGGGCTATCCTAAATATAATCAAGCACAGCACAGCACCTAATGTTTTACATTTCTTGTTTGCAAAGGGTAGCCAATCATCAGAAAGTTGTCTGACAGTGAGTGTGAAAGAAACCTAAGCAGCTCATTTCATATATGTTTGACATGAGAGGCTGCTCCGAGACTCAGTATAAGATAAATAAGCATTATTTTTGAACTGTGGAGCATGCAGAGCTAGTCCAAGAATAAAAATATGGAACTGGAAATGAGCAGCTGGCTCCCTTATTTGCCCTTTATCCTGGGCATCATCCGTCATCTGCTCGTCTAACTTTGGTCTACATCGCTCTACATAATTTATTAAAATTAGAAAGCCCAAGTGCTCGTGTATATTTCATGCACATTTCATTCAAAAATTAAAAGAAGATTTTTTAAAAATGTGGCATGAGTAGTTGAAGCCCACTGGTTTGGAAGCTTGGAGGAAGAAAATCATGACTGCTTTTGTTGCTAAACACTACAAAGTGTTAATACGTATACTCTAGTTGGACGGCTTTAGTGTGGGAAGGAACTAAAAGCTGCATAAAACAGGCAAAAATAGCCCCGTGTTTGTATTTGAGATTCAGTACTTCTGAGTTTGTGTAACATGTTTTATACTTGGTACAGATGATGGTAATGAGTACTTCCTTGAGTTGCTTATAGACTAAAGCAGAATTGTGACTCCTATGATGATTCTCTCTCAGTCAGTAGTGGCCAGAATATACAGCACCTTAAAACCTGAAGCAGCAAAATGTTATTCATTTATCAGGTTACTGTTTACAAATGTGACCTGACCAACTTTCAAACTAAACACTCTGTTCTGTTTAAAGAGACTAGACGTGCACAGCTTGCCTGCTCTAATAGTAATCCACTAACACTCAGTTGTTAGTGAATGAGTGAACATTAAGGCAGTTAGAAACGACGAGCACTAAAAATGTGTACTTGCCTTTCACAAATTGCTCTATACTCAGTAGGGACTAAGGTATGACATTAAGGGCTATGACTGTGCACTTTATCACAACAGGATACAAATGTGAAACCTGATTGCAGGAGATTTCTTGCAGTGAGAAAGCAGAGGGAACTCTGCAGCATTGCCGTTAAAAAAGTTCTTCAACCACTTTGTGATTTATTTACTCAAGTTTAATACATGTTATTTTTATCACACGGTCAGACGAGGTGACACAGAGTCATTGCTTTTAAAGTACACGGACCAGCTGTGCCTGGCTGCGTAATCACCGCACTGCTCGCCAACAGGCCCGGTCTAAGCCAGAAAAAAGCTCAGCGGTGTTACAGATCCGTCACTGTTCTTCCCTGAATGAAGCAACACCATTTTCTTGTATCTTTGTGATGCGACATTTGCACTTAAACTTTGTTCTCACGTTTGAGTTACACGTCTTTTTTTTTTTTCCATGACAGAAAAATATGCCCAAGTTCAACAAAATCCCGTTCTACCTCCAGCCCCATTCTTCCTCTGGTGCAAAAACTCTAAAAAAGTAAGTTTGTAATTTCTCGTATTTCAGCAAAGATCCCTGTCACGTGCAGCTCTGCAATGTTCACAGCCGGTTTTTATACCTTCTTTGTCGCACAGGGACCGACTGTCGGCCAGTGACATGCTCCAGGTGAGAAAGGTCATGGAACATGTTTATGAGAAGATCATCAACTTGGACAACGAGTCACAGACCACCAGCTCCTCGGCCAACGATAAACCCGGGGAGCAGGAGAAGGAGGAGGACATGGCCATGCTAGCTGAAGAGAAGATTGAGCTAATGTGTCAAGACCAGGTGGGCACATCAACACGCTCTGTGAATGCACTGAACACAACTTCTCTTTCATGTTAGTAACCTTCTTTTGTTTTTGATTCGTCCAGGTGCTAGATCCCAACATGGACCTGCGAACAGTTAAACATTTTATCTGGAAGAGCGGAGGGGACTTGACACTTCACTATAGGCAGAAGTCCACGTGAAAGTCGTCATTTTTAAAAGCAGAACTCTTTGTCATTTGCCAATCACCACCCACCTCTGACATGTAGTACCCTAAAACCCCATTGTGTGGTCAAGAGTTGCAGTAACAGTGAGAATCCAGTAAAATTTGTGGGGACATGGCTCATGTTGTATTATAGGAAACTGAGAAGAACAGGCCGGCGCAGCCAACAGACACCTGGGAAATAAGTGGTCCATATTGTTTGTTTTTTTTAAGTTTGGACTTAAATGTCTCCTCTCTGCATCCTTTTTTTTTCCTTGTTCTTCTTCCTCACATCTTTGACTGTCCCTGCCCACCCTTTCCTGATTGGCATTTTATTTTTGAAGCGACTGAAGTTGCAGTGCGTGTTTGTGTATGTATGCACACGGATGTAGTAGACTGTCTGTTCTAGTACATTCCAGGAAACTGTCCTTGTTCTACAGACACTCCAGTCCTGTCTCAGCAGTATCACCAGTTTAGGAGTACACTTGGTCTCTGGGTAGCCTCACAGTCCCTCAAAGACAAAAAAACCCTCCTCTGTTCTGTAGTCGACGTCGTCTGCATTAACTTGAACTTAACCTCGGCTTAGACATCCAGTTAGTGCAGAGCTTGAACCTCATCGACAGAAGCAGTCCACGTTGTCTTTTGTTTTTAGCGGTGTTATCCTCAAAGGAATGAATGTTCTTTATTTTGTAAATATATGTACAACATTTTTCATTTAAATTACTTTTTCTTTTGGTTTTGCAGCTGTTTTCTTTTTGTTTTTGTACAGTTTACTTAAAAAAGCAAAAACACACAAAAATTATTTTTCCAAATCCCTGCAGCACATTCATGGTCATGAACGCTAAATGACTTGAATGGTAAGATTTGCATTTGTTGATTTCACTGCAATCTGAAACTTGCAGTTAGTATTTGTGTAGGTCATCTTAGCAATTGGGGAAATTATATATAGGGTATATATCTTAAACAGTAATTCATGCTTAGATGCTCTGCGTTTGGTTCACGAGCATGGACTCTGATGACAGCGAGGGTTGTTCCTAATGTATATTTCATTTAGATTCAGTAGGAGTTCAGTGGAGCATAAATTTAACTTGAAGGGGAATCTCATCTGAGATAACATACGAACATTCAGCCACTGTGGGAACTTCACCAAAGTGTAATAAATGCTAACACATCTTGTCGCTTGGTGTGTCACCAAGCCACAACAACAGATCTTTTCATTGTAATTTCCTGGAGTTTAATTTTGCCACGAGTGTGTGTAATGCCATAGCAGGAGGGAGGATGCATTGAGTGAGCTCTAATTGGCCAAAAATAAAAATCCAAGATGGGTACAAATAATCAGGCCATAACTCTGCAATATCCATTATTGTAATCATTTGTGAAATATGTATATTTTAGGCATTCAAAGAAATAAATTGGAATGGTTTAACAATGACAGGTTTTACCAGGATTATAAATGGCTGTCTCGAGTTGTATTGTGTTGAGCTGATCCAAGTGAAATAAGAGAAACGAGGGACTCCTTTTTTTTTTTCTTTCCCAGTGATTGTTTAACCATCGAAGATTCACCCATTTCACATTCATCAAGACTTTGCACTCATTCCTAATAAAACAGACAATTCATTGATAAAAATATCTGCAAAAAATACTTTTTCTTATTTTACACACTAGCACCTACTTGACCAATGAAAACTGTTAAGATGCCCCCAAAAATAAAAACAAAAATCAATTACTCAAGTATCACTAACTTGGCAGTCTTATATTTAATTAAATGCTTACTTTACATTAGCAATGCATTGTCTATGAAATGAAAGGTGGGTATAATCTAGTGTTGCATAGGTCATGGAAATTAAAAGGGGGCATAAATCTGGCTATACAGCAGTAAACATCCATTTTAGACTCATTACAAAGTACATCACTGAACAAAATCTAATTAAATATTAGTGTTAAAAACAAAAGTAAAACCTGTGCTGTTTCTATTCAGCATCGTCCCACAGTGAAAGCCCTTTATGTAGTGTCACCAATCTGGAGGATATAAAGTAAAATGTCCCATGTCTTATAATTAAAAGTGTTTCTTTGGGTAAGAGTTTAAATGACGTTGCTTCAAAACATTAAAGGTAACACTGCACCACCGCCAAAGACTATGGCGACTAATCTGAGTGGCCAACCGTCTAGTAACTTCAAAAAAATATTGATAATTGTCCTTGATAAAAAAGGTGCAGCTGTGCTTTGCAATGTCTGTCTTTGGAAAAATTCAAGTTTTGTTACATCGGCCTACCAGAAGCAGTCTCATTACCCGTATGATCCAAATTTGCACTCGGAAGGAAAAAGTTTGACCTTTAAAAACTGTTCTGGCTTACAACTAAGCAGTAACTAAATTCTCACATACAAAACACACAGAAGATTACTACAGTGCCTTTTCCTCACCCATCTTCTGCATTAATGCTGTAGCTGGTTTATGTAGTGTCACCAATCTGCTGACGCAGTCTTACATGCAAACAAGACAGACTGACAAGATAAAGTCTTCCCTCTGATGATCTATCCTAAAAATCATTTCTTTAAAAACAAAACAAAACGATTGTCGTCGACACTTTGCATTTGTCTGGCCTGACTTAAGCCTACTCAAAATGTGCCTTCTTGGGTTCCTACTCATCATCGTGCTCATGGTCACAGTGGTGAGCAGAAGCCACATGCAGAGGCTCTGCGATCTCATCCACTGACCCGAGAGTGTCCTCGATGGCCTGAGGTGGAGACCTGTCTGCGGTGGACTCCTCGGTGACCAGAGATGGGATGAGATCGACAGGAGATGAGCGAGGAAGGTCTTCAGCGGGCACAGAAGGCTCAAGAGAAAAAGACAACGCACCTATAGTTGGACTTTGACTATCACTAGACTCAATGAGAGAGCTCTGTGGCTCTGCACACTCTGTGAGCAGGTGGGAGAGTCCAGCTGGTGGGACGCTTGAATCAGCAGACAAGAGAGCAGGAGTGAGGTCTCTGGCTGCCTGGGAGATGTGCTCTTGTGGCTCATTCTGGTGGTCTGCTAATGATGGGAGCAGAACACTGTCCTCCAACTCTTCTGTAGTAAAACAAATATGGTTGAATTAAACAGAAGTGGATGAGAGAATTATATTAAACATACAACATATTTCATTGGCAGATGGCTAGTTCTCACTGAGCCTGGTTATACTAGAGGTTTCTTCCTGTTAGAAGAGTTTTTCTTCCCACGGTCACCAAGTGCTTGCTCATAGATGTTTCATTGTTGGGGTTTTCTGTGTATTATTGTTAAGTTTTTACCTCAAGTTTTTCCCAAATTAAAAGGCGACCGTGGTTCAGGGGGTTGGGAGGCTCATCTTGTAACAGGAAGGTTGCCGGTTCGATCCCCAGCTCTCTCTGTCTTGGTCGTTGTGTCCTTGGGCAAGACACTTCACCTACCACCTACTGGTGATGGCCAGAGGGGCTTCTGTCAGTCTGCCCCAGGGCAGCTGTGGCTACAACTGTGGCTCCACCAGTGTGTGAATGTGAGAATGAATGAATAGTGGAATTGTAAAGCGCTTTGAGGGTCTCGAAAAGCACTATAAATGCAATCCATTATTATTATTATTATATAAAGCACTTTGAGGTGACTGTTGTTCTGATTTGAACCTATATAAATGAAACTGAATATATTTCTTAAAACTGATGCATGAAAGTCACTGGACAGTGATGAACAGCTGCCACACTGACTTACCAACACCAGATATCTCGCTTTCCTTCTCCTCGTGCATCGCCAGCGAGGTGTTTGTCATGTCAATGGATGACATGGACAGATCCAGCCTGTCCACCAAGTCTGAAGGATCGGGGTTCATCACTGCCATTTCAGAATCAGAAAAACCTGGAAAATTCCAACAATAAAACACACTTCTTAAGAAGATTTTTGCAAACACAGCATATGCTAAGGTGAACAGAATCTTAACTGACCAAGCTCGGTGACCCTTTGAATGGGTGGAGGTAGATAAGAGTCCTCGAGGGTGACCTGCTCCAGGTTTAACTCTTCACTATTGCTTGAAGGTGCCATGAGAGGTGCCTGGAGACACACGCACACGGTGAAAGTTATTGACCTGTGTCAGCTTCTCAAATGTGAGATTTTGCTGTATTTTACTGTCACCTCTGTGTATCCATGCGCAGGCAGCTTTGGAGAGTGTTTCTCCTCAACATCAGGGGCAGAAGGCTCGACTGTTGATATTTCTGGATTAGCAGGGATTCGGTGCAGGTAGCCATAACCGATACCGCAACCCAAACTGCAGACAAACATTTGCAGATGCTTTAAGATATAATACAACAACTGATTAACAATTTACACATGAAATCATAGTTGCAACATGCAAGACCATCACCAAGTAAGACCCTATTCTGGGAATGTCTTATTTTAGGGATGTGAGCCTGATAGCCCACAGTGGGCTGGACCATTTTCTGTTGGTGTAAACTACATATATAATAAATGTGTAAATAATAAATATGAGAAAATATAGTGCAAGTTCAACAGTTTGTCCTTGTTTTTCTACACTATAATGAAATCTGTCAGCATGACTCTCTGGGCTTAAATTACAGAAAAAGTTTTACTAGCTCATTGCTCTGACTATCCTGTAATTTAAACTGAAAGTTCTTGTTATGTCACAAAAAATGTTCTTTTTTCTGGTTTTCTAAGGAGCTTGGAAAGAAAAGTGTCTGGACTTCTTTAAGTGGCTTTAAGACGTTTCACCTCTCATCCGAGAAGCTTCTTCAGCTGCAGGGTCAAAAGGTGGAGAGTCCCAGATTTAAGCCTTGTGGGAGTGTGCCCCCGAGAGGGACAATGGACACCCTAATGATCCTCTACTTAATCACATGAGCCAAGGAGTGAAAACGTGCGTAGGTCACAATCAGTCAAGGTATCGGGTGAGCTCATTGTGAAACCCCGTTCTCACACCTTGGCTCATGTGATAAGGTAGAGGAAGTCCAGAAGTCTAGACAATTTTCTTTCCAAGCTGCTTAGACTACAATGACCTGGATGACTGAGAAAACTTCACAGACATTTTTCTGGTTTTGTTTTTCTTTAGTGTGGGCCCCTTGTAAAAAAAAACCCTGAAATTTTTATATCATAAAGTGAAAAAACAGGAACTTTTCTTTGATTGAAGCATTTATTCATTACTTAATTATTAATTGGTTTAGTTAAAATTGCCATAAGTGAGATAGGAAAAGCTGTAAAACTTGTGAAAATACAGTTAAAAGTTTAAAATGTATGTCTTCCAGTGGATCGGATCTGAGTCTTTGAAAAAAATATGGCCCCTGGGCCTTAGGGTGCATCTGCATCAAAGAAAAATCTAAAAATAGTGGGGGGGGAAAACACTAACACGCATTAGAATGTGGAGTCCAGAAACCAGCGGGTGACATGACAATGATTACATCCATCTTTCATATACTGTCAGCTGCATTTGGCCATACCTGCCCTCTCCTCCCCATGCTCCGTTTGGTGTGACCACCACCTCTCTGCATAGGTCCGTTTGTGTGTTGTACACCAGCAGCTTCAGAGGTTTTCCTTCATGGGCCTCAATCAGTGAGAAAAAGTCTTCTGACTGCAAATGACAAACTCTGAATTAACTACTGGAGGTGCAAATTCGAAATTTTCATGCCACAAGTAATGTTGCATGGTTCTAATAAGACATCTTACATCTTGCAAAACCTGATCTGCTCCCACAATATAGTCACTGTGGGGC